AATGTTTTGATTTGTCATGTTTATGTTGCTGTGTTTAGTTATACTGAATGGATTTGTGTACTGTAGTAGATATATGCAGTCAGCAGGCAGTTGGTTTAGTTTTTTTTTGGCATCTCCATGTGGTCCTGTTCGGTATCGCAACTTGACTTCTCTAAAATGTAAAAAAGCTCTTTGGTGTTGCACTGTACACATACTATAAAATTCTGATTTTTTTCTTTCATATGTGCTTATATGGGCTCCTTATATCATTTGGTTCTTTGGTGTCCTTTTGGAGTTTCTAAGTGTCCTTTTTTGGAAAGACATCTAAATTTATCTTGAAAAAAAGCTTGCAGAAAACATAGATTTTGAGAATCACCCTTCAATCTTTTGGTTTACTTTGCTGGATATAATAATGATGACAAAATAAACATTTGAAACAAGATAAATGGTCTATGCTTAATTTCATGAAGTGTGCGATTAATCGTGATTAATCACAGAAAAAGGGTGTGATTAATTAGATTAAAAATTTTAATTGATTCACAGCCCTTATATATATATATATATATGTGTGTGTGCACATACAAACACACACACACAAAGAAAAACGAGTCGATAGAATAGAAAAATGGAAAGCTAGTGTTAGTTTTTTTTTTTTTATAAAAAAGATAAATAGATAAAGTAGAATTAAAATAGAATAGAGAGTGCTAGAGTTAGAGGGTCAAATGAAGATGGAACAGATGTGTTTTTAGCCGTTTCTTGAAGATGGTTAAGGACTCAGCTGCTGGTATTGAGTTGGGCAGGTCATTCCACCAGGAGGGAACAGTTAATGAAAAGTCTGTGACAGTGATTTTGTGCCTCTTTGGGATGAACATTAAAACGCTACCAACACATGGCGAGCTCACTTTGGTGTTTGCTTCTGTGGCGTGAAGAGCTCCGGATTCCATCTCCGTCAACAGATCATCAACGGCTTCGTGGTTACTGTTCGTTGTTGTTTCTATTTGTGATTATCCTGTTTATCCTAAGAAAATTCCTGGAGCATAGGAGGGGTCTGCCATTTATTTTGATCTAATTTTGCGATGTGTTTTTTTGTTTGTTTAGGGAGTTAGGGAAGTTCATTTGTACTTTTCTTTATAATTAGGTCATTTATATTTCTTCTTTATTTTATTAGTTGCTTTGTTTGTTATTTTGGCCTTGGGCCTCTCTGAAGTTAATGCTCCTTATATTCATTTCACTCTTCTTTAATAAATTATTTAAACTTATATTTGTCTTTGGTGATCTGTTGGCTGTGGTCGGAATCCCGTTAACATCACTCGTTCGCCTCTTACCCTATTAAAATGGGCCGTAACAGTTATATTTATAATATGTTTAGTAGCTTCTTTAATGTATCAATATACTGAAAAAATTATTCTCAAACCTCAGTTTCTCCAGCTGACAGTTTGGGCTCTTCAGTCCATTAGAGAGCAGCTTCAATCCTGAATCCCACAGCTCATTTTTACTCATGTCCAGCTCTATCAGACGGGAGTTTGATGATTGTAGAGCTGATGCCACAAACTCACAGCACTCACCAGTGAGTTTACAGTATATCAATCTGAAGAGAATAATAAAAAAACAGGTAGACATTACAGGTTCTCTTTTATTATACTGTATACTAACCAGTCACCTTTTACACTTTCACGACTGTTGACATTTTAAAGAAGTCAGGATGTCATGTTCTCATGTTATTTAGCATATTTTTTATCTTAAAATATAGCTTTTTACCTGACAAGCATCATATTCTCTTGGGCTCTTGTTTTCACTTGGTCATTGTAACTGTTTGTTATTATATTGTATATATTATGTATATAAATTGTTTACTTTTTTCTAAGATTATTTTTGTTATGAAGATAAGTTACATTTATTATTTGTCAATTTATTTTTTGTTATTTGGTTTGGGACTTTTATTTTGAAATGTCGATGGTTGTATTTAATGGCTGACTGCCTGCAAGGTTCTCAGTTGGCGTGGAGAGGATCAAACAACAGAGGAAACACATCTTGGACACGCACAGTGTTTTTGTTTCGTTTCTTTCAAACCGCGGAGGTGCATAAACTGATCTGTGACTGGACTAAGGATGGAAGGGAGTAGTGATGGTGAGGGTGGATATGAAGATATGGACTTAAATAATTGGACGGAAGTATGGAGAAACAAACGCGTTAGGAGTAATAGTAGTAAAGAAGGCAGTAGTTCAGATGGGAGTAAAGAAGGTAGGGTAGTGCGTAGGAGGGAGGTTGAAGACGAGGGGTTTAAAGTAATTTTGAGTTTCAAGGAAGGAAATTATACAAGAAAAGTGAGTCCGGTGGCATTGACTCGCAATTTGAAGGAGGAAATTGGTGAAATTGTGATGGCGAAAGTGTTGGGAGATGGTAGGTTGTTAATCAAATGTAAAGATGAGAAGCAAAGGGAAAAGGCGAGGAAGATGACTAAAGTGTGTGGCAAAGAGGTGGAGAAAGCCAAGAAGACAGGTGATGGACCCTTTATGAAAGGCGTTATATATGGAATCCCAGTTGAGGAAAAGTTGGAGGATTTGAAGTCAAACATAAGAGGTGGGAAAGTTATTGAAATTAAGCGTCTGCAAACAAGAAAAGGAGGAGAAAGGGTTGATAGTTTGTCAATATTGTTGGTATTCCAAGAGAGGGTGTTGCCGGATAAAGTGAGAGTGGGTTACATGAGTTATAATGTAAGAGCATATGTGCCTCCTCCTTTGAGATGTTACAAATGTCAAAAATATGGACATATTGCAGCTGGATGTAAAGGAAAACAAAAGTGTGGAAAGTGTGGAGGGGAGCATGAGTATGGGAAATGTGAGGATGGGACAGAGATTAAATGTGCTAATTGTGGAGGTGCACATATGGTGACAGATGAGATGTTTGGTGGGATCAGAGTGGGGAGCTGACAGGTCTAGTTTGAAAACTATATATATAGGTTTAATACGATCAGTTATGGATTATGGATGTGTGGTATATGGGTCAGCATCTAAAACCTTGTTGAAAAGATTGGATGTAATACAAGCACAAGCATTAAGGATATGTAGTGGGGCTTTTAAAACAACATCTATGCCAGCGTTACAGGTAGAAATGGGGGAAATGCCATTGCAGCAAATCATGACAACATACTGGGTGAATTTACAAGGACATAATAACCATCCTGCAATAAGTGCTATTGAACCATGCTGGGAACATGGAAAAAGGCAAATAAATAGTTTTGGTTGGGTTGTTAGGAAAAGGGCAAGTGAAATTGGGTATAATGGAGAGGAATTACTCTCCAACAGTAGTTCTGCCAACTATACCTCCTTGGTTTTTACCACAGCCAGAGATAGATTTTAGCCTCCTTGAACTGATGAGAGATGAATATGGGGGAAATTATAAGATCTTTAATTCATACATCAGAGGAAATTATTACGGTTACTTACAGATTTATACCGATTGTTCTAAAGATCCTAAAACAGGTAGAGCAGCAGTGGTAATCCCTGAGTTTAATGTTGAGTGTGGAAAGAGAATTACCGATGATATATCTGTATATGCATGTGAAATGATGGCCATGATTATTGCTTTGCAATGGGTAGAGGAGGTCAGGCCAGAGAGAGTGGTAATTGCATCAGATTCATGTGCAGCATTAATGAGTTTAAAATTTTGCAACTCCAGGAGTAGAGAGGACTTATTGTATGAAATACTACAATCATTATTCAGAATTCATCAAATACATTTGTCTGTTAGGTTTGTGTGGGTCCCTGCACATGTTGGAATTGATGGGAATGAAAAGGCAGATAAAGCAGCAAAATGTGCTTTGAAGAGTGGAAATAAGCACATAAATATAAATATTAGCAAGTCAGAAGCTAAGGTGGTGATAAAGGGACAGATCAAAAAGATGTGGCAAAATCAATGGAACAAAGAAACCAAAGGGAGATATCTGTTTAAAAATATTCCATTAGTTGGAAAGATAGGAACTGGAGGACGAAATAGGAAAGAGGGGACAGTTATAACAAGAATAAGGAATGGTCACACTGGTCTAAACAGTTCTCTATACATGACTGGAAAGCATAATAATGGAAAGTGTGAATATTGTGGAGAGGAAGAAACAGTAGACCATGTTTTATTGCATTGCCAGACGTATGATTCAGAGAGAGAAATTTTAAAGAATGCACTAAGAAAGAATGGAGAGCAAAATATTAGTAATATTCTTAAAAAATCTGCAGATGATAAGGGTTGGAGTCTACTTCTAGAGTATTTAGGATCAACAAGACTAATAAATAGAATTTGAGAAATATAAGTTTATTGATTTTTTGTTTACAGGGTGATTTATTTATTAATTTATATATATATAATTGTTTTTATTTTTATTTTTTTTTGGTGTTGTGTATAGTGATTTAGATCCTGAGTCCACACTCCAGATCAGTGGGTGGCGGTAATGCACCCGAAAGCTGTTTGCCAACCGCCAGTAAAAACAAAAAAGCAAGCCAGCGGCAAACACGAACTTTGAGCATGTGCGCATCAATGGATGTCTCTTTCTGCAAGGGATTTGAACATGAGATTAAGGAGTATTCAAGACAATTTCTTTCATATAGCATGCAGCCAACGAGGTATTTCGCTTTATATTTGCTTTGTTTGTATTTTGTGTTTGAAGTTCTTAAAGTTTGTTTATTTGCTAATGTATGTTTTGGTTTGTATTAAGTTAATGTGGTTTGTATTCATTGTTTAGTTTTCACGGTGGATTTGGGGGAAAAGCCATCAAATAAACCAGTAGTACGGAAACCACTTGTGCCAGCGTATGCTTGAGGGGAATTACAGTCATAAATAAATGTTGCATTAGGATATGAACATAGATCCCACACTCTAATAGTAGGACGTTTACCCCTACATTAACAAGTTATTTTTATGAATATATATATATTACTTACATTTATCACCAGTCAGAACATGAGAAATAAACTAATATTTAACCTCAGACTCCATAGTACAAGGGGTGGCGATACTGCAAATTTTGGTATCGATCCAATACAGAGTAAATACAGGGCCAATATCGCCGACACTGATACCGATACTTTTCATTATAAAACATACGTTTAAATGACCAACTACACTTTGAAAATTAACAATAACTAATGCTGATATGACTAATATTACATGCACCTTAAAGCTACCTTTGCAGGCAGAGGAGCCCAGAACATGAAAGCAATGCACGGTTTCGTGTTAAGTATTTTCCTCCCGTAGAAAAGTTCTAAAGAAAAAAATTAACGTGGCTTAATAAATTAAGAATGTAATATTAAAAGACAAAACTCAGTATACACCTTATTAATGTTGCAAACTAGATATACAAGTTAGCAAATGTGCCCAGAATATGAAAGCAACGCTCAAAGTTTCCACATTGTTCATTTTCCTTCCATAGAAAACCATTATAAAGAAAAGTTTAATGTACAGAACATGAATGCAACACACTGAATTTCATTTCCTCTTATTGATAACCAATATAAAAGCACTTAATATGGTGTAATGGAGGAAGACAGTGATAAAGACCAAATAAATAAAGTATATAAAGACCAAATTCGGTATACAGTTTGTTGATAAAATATAATATGTGGCAAGCAGCTGAGTCCAAAATATATATGCAAACATGCTAAATTACATGTTAAGCATTTTACTCCCATAGAAAACCGTTATAATGAAAACATTTAAAGTGGCTTAATGCATTTAAGAAAGTAATATTAAAAGGCCAAACTCAGTATACACCTTACAGCGATACTGCATAAAAAGGACCAAGTTGGTATACAGTTATATACAATATGTACTACGTGCAGCATTTCCTTCCTCCCCTTTTCATTTATTTTGTAGCTCGGAGTTCTACTGTTCCATCTGTAGCCAAAAGTATCCGCTTGCGCTTGGAGCCACTGAGTCACGTGATAGCATGACAACAAAACAGCGTAGCAGGGGAGGGGTATATACACACACAGACATGTCTACACTTTGTTGAATGTATTAAGCAATGTATTAAAGGGTTAGTTCACCCAAAAATGAAAATTAGCCTCTGTTTTACTCGCCCTCAAAGCATCCTAGGTGTATGTGACTTTCTTCTTTCAGACGAATCCAATCAGAGTTATATTATTGTTTATAATAATTGTTTGTTTTATTATGTTTCATTAATAAAATTACAAAGCTCAGTGCACAATTTGCCACACCACAAACTGTCAAACACATCTTACCTGCAAACATACACTCGTGTCCTTCAAGGTATCTTGGAGAGGTGAGATGTCCAATTCGCAACATATAACTACTGGGGTGCCTCAGGGCTCAGTTCTTGGACCACTTCTCTTCTCTGTCTACATCATTTGCACTTAAATATTGTTGCTCTTTTGTTAGTTTTGATTGCTTCTTTTGCCCTCATTTGTAAGAAATCCTCCGACATTTTTCTTTACAAATCCTTGTTTTCTACTTCTAATTCGTGACCGGCATTTTGTTTTGTTCTCTCTCTGCATTCGTCACTAATCACGCAACGCATACGTGCTGCGT